CGAATCCATGTCTCTCAAATTGGTTTGTGCTATTGTTACCCGTTCATCCACTCTATTTTAACCAATTACAGCCACATTCTAGTATTCCTTTTTCTCTATTTTGAAGAATTTTCTATAGCTTATTTCGTTGGATCTTTTAACAATAAAATACGTAATTTGGATTGCAATAGCATGAACGCTCAAGCTGAGAATAAATTTACTGGTTTGGACGGTTCAGATAAAAAAACATCGACAACTAAAACTGAATTTAAAGAAAAACAGGTAAACCCAAATTCTGGTGTATTGCCTATTCTCAACATGCCGGAAAACCCACTGAAAGAAAAGGACCAAAACAAAAATGTGGCCGAAAAAGATAGCAAAGACAGCAATTCTGAAGCCGATGTTAAAAAAGAAGTACCTCCTCCAGTTCAAACCGAAATTTTAGAAACAAAAGGAAATGAAAATGTTCCAGAAGAGAAGTATTCTGACGATTCCGCAAAAGCGGAACAAACCAAGTCACAAGAAAAGAAAGAAGGTGAGAGTTAAAACTGGATACCACGCACGATTTCTTACGATGTTTTGCTAATAACTTTCGTGTTTGAATAAAAGCTCTTACTTTGGTGGTACCCGAAGGTGATAATACCATTTCTGTGCCGCCTATCCTCACTTCTCCGATTTCACCGACAAAAGCTTCGGCAGAGAATCAATCACCTAGCTCACAACAGCAAGCGCCGCCAAAAAATTTTTTCAAGAAATTCGGCTTGAAAAAAAAAAATCAAGATCCGTCTTCATCGCCTACCACCGAAGTCGATATTTCTGCATCGCTGGAAAAGTCACCTGACCAGAATGTTGAACCAACGACTGAAGAAGTTAAAGAAGTTAAAGAAGTAAAAGAAGTAACAAAGGTTAATCCTACCGAAACGGTTACACAAAATGATACTGAGTCAAAGAATTTCTTCAAAAAGTTGGGTATAAGAAAAACTTCGTCCGTGCCAAAAAATCAGGAACCGCCTTTGCCCAGTTCTGAAGTCACCGATAGAGACGTTTCTACAGCGCAGGCGAAGTCGTCTGATTCAAGTGTCGAATCGACGACCGAGGAAGTAGCCAAGGTTAAGGTTAATGCTACCGAAGTTGCTACAGAGAACGATACAGAGTCAAAAAATTTCTTTAAAAAATTTAGTTTCGACAAGGTAAAAAAATCACAGACAAAAAACCAAGAGCCTTCTTCTAATTCTCCACCTAGTTCCGAAGCTCCGGCTACGGACGCGACGACAAAAACAGAGGTATTAGCTTCAAATGTTGGACCGGCTATTGAAGAAGCAACCAAATCAGAAGTTACCGTAGAGAACGATACAGAATCGAAGAATTTCTTCAAAAAACTTGGTTTCGACAAGATGAAAAAATCATCGACGAAAAATCAAGAGCCATCACCTCCTAGCTCTGAAGATTCCACTACTGACAATTCTGCTACACAGAACAAGTCACCTGACTCGCAACCAGAAGGGTCAGATTCAAATGCTGAGTTAACTACCGAAGAAACGATTAAGTCAGAAGTTGTTACGGAGAATGAAGCGGAGTTAAAAGATGAAAAAACAGCGGAAGAGAGAAAAAAGAACAATTTTGGTTTGAGATTTGCAGATATGGGTCGAATGCTTGTCGAAAGAATTCGAGAAGGATTCGATGAGCTAGATCAGCGTATGTACCAAAACCCCGAGGATACCCGTGAAGTTCCCGAAGTTAACGAACGTGAGGAATTACTTGGGAAGTCCGATGACAGTACCGCTTCTGTTTCACCTAATAACAATCCGGTCGCAAATGGAACGAAGGAAGCCATGGCTGAACTTGGAGACGCTTTAAATGAACGTGGTGAAAAGCTTGGCATGGTGAATGAGCAGGTGACTGAATTGGCAGCAAATGCTGATTCTTTCGCGGCATTAGCAAGAGAAGCCATGCTGGCCCAGAAAAATAAAAAATGGTATCAATGGTAGCGTTACAGTTTTCTGTATTAACATGAGAAGCGCAATGGCTCTGAAGATGAGATCGAAACAAAAATTTTTTTCTTTCTTTATAGATAATTGTAATACCCTTTTTCTTTTTTTTTGACATTCCATATCACTCCCTTTGTAATTCCATCGTGTAGATTAGTTAAAACTACAAGAGTTTGTAGATTAACCAGATTATATGTATAATTAGTTGTGGGTTCAACAAAATTGTCTATTTTACTGTATATATTGCTATTCTGTTCTACTTTCATTATCTTTTTTTTTTTATTACGTTACTCGTCTTTTCTAGCCTGGTTTCCTTTTATATACATATATTATTTTATTTTACATGTTCACATACATTTTAGGTCTAACAAATTATTATACATATCTGTGGTTCGACAATTTAGATTTTTTTTCGGATCTGTTAGTTCAATTACGTATTTTTTTTTAAAAAAAGAAAATCAAAAAAAAGAGAAAAAATCTATACAATTCGACCCCAATTTTCAGTTATCATGAAATGAGAGTTTTGTATTATTACTCAAATATGGAAAATGGTAACAGAGAAAAGTGTACAAACCCAAAGTATGACCAATCAATTATTTACAAGTCCACAAACAATTCATTAAACGCTTTTATCAAGCTCATATCCAAGAAATATTTTTCAATTTTCTTCAATCGTTTACGACGAGTTACGGAATTCTCAATATCTATAAAAAAGATGTTAATAATGCGAGCTAGTCTCTTAGTTAAGTCGTGACACTCACCTTCAAATCTTTGAGTTATGACAACATCGGTGGGGGCGGACGATCTCAGGTTGCTATATGTCAAACTGATATCTACTATGCTTTTGTTAATGTGAGATATGTCAATAAAATGATATTCGGAAATTAGTAGTAAATAAAAATCATCTTACGATTCTTCCAAGTCAACCGAGAACTCTACCAAATCATAGGCGTTATTAGACGTCAAATTAGTAACGCCTGTTTTCTGTCGCATGAGCTTTACTTCTTCGCGTCTCGCAACATAGGCTTGAAGGTAATCATCTACAATATTCACAAATTTCTATGAAAATGTCACCGTTTCTAGCGCAAATGTCGTGACCAATCATTATTCAATGTGCAACAACGAATTTCAATACACTACATCCACGTCTTTGTTTAAATAATCGTTCTCGATCTCTCCCAGAGGGATGAAATGTGGTAACGTGTGTTTGAAAATCCTCAACTGATTACCCCGTTTCGCTTGATCGAGGATGATGTAATGTGACTCGTGATATTTTGCTTTTGAGAGAAATTGGATTATATGAGTGTTTTAATTATGGAATTAGCCTTTGTGGAAGCAAATAATTAATTTAACCTCTATAGAATGTTTCGAATTTCATTTCAACACGTTTACTTTTGGTAGGGAAAATCGTCCTGCCAATAAGTCGATAAGCCTTCAAAAATTCCTCATATTCACGTTGATTACTGATTTGCACCATCTGTTGGAATATCTAGATAACCACCGAATACAAGATATCGTATTATTCGCAGATCTAATGCAGGAAAAAAAAAAATGTAACATTTACCTCCTCTTGGAATTCTCCGTGATTAATTGGCGATATTTCTGCATCCTTCTCATAAACGATTTCGCGTAAGTTCTTTGAATTTTCCTCAATCTCAAGAATTTGTTTCAATTCATCGCGTTCTTTTAGGAGACCTCGAACTTTAAGCATTGAAAAAAAAAAATTGTTCTGTCAAATTCCGTAATACAGGTAATAGGGAAATGAAAACACGTACATTTATCTCTTAATTCTTCTATTTCAGATTTTTCTCTATTTTATGGTGGTGCGGAAAAGGTCAAGGTGAAAGCCGCACAAAAATTCTAATGTTAAGGAAGAGAAACTTGAAGAAGCAAGGCGGATGAATACACGAAAATAATTACTTTGACGAATCTTCGTTTCCATTCATGATAGACGTCTTGAAGAGTGAACGCGAGCACCATGAATTTGATTGGTCAATTATGCAAAAATTTACTAAGTAAACATACTGTATAAACAGCCTACTATCGTTACACACAATATAAATTGTATTATAAAAATGGCATTTTAGTCTTGGTTAAGGGGAAATGTCCTGTGACTGATATATAATTATTTTTTATTATAATTTAATTAATTTTTTTTTTTTTTTTTTTTTTAATCCCGCAATCAGGTTGGTGTCGTTTATTTATTTAATCATAAAGAACCATT